AACAAGTGTCGAGTGAAGAGGAATCGGATGAGTTGAGTCTCGACGATGAGTCGGAAGTGTCTGATTTGGAGCCCAAACACAAACGCAGCAAAAGCTCGAAATCAAAGAGTAAATCAAAGTCTAAGTCGAAGAGCAGCTCGAAGTCGAAAAAGTCGTCGAAGAAATCAAAGAGAAGAGTGAGTTCTTCAGATTCAGACGACGATGTGATAAGTCTTGGATCTGATTTCAGTGAATCAGACACTGATAACAAACCAAAGAAAACGATTCCACCGAAAAAGCCATTAAACAAATCCAAGAATCTGAGCACAGAATCCGATTCGGATTCATCTGACAGTAAACCAAAAGCGAAAGCAAATTCACCGAAAACTCCAAAGAGTTCGACCAATTGGTTGACTCAGAGATCGGAAAAACTAAAATCAGTCGAAAAGTCGAGTCCATCGACAAAGAAGACTTCAATGACCCCTAAAGCCAGTGATAAGAGACTGAATAAAAGTGTGATGTCTTTAGCGGCTGATGAGTCGTTTATATCTGTGATGGACTCGACTGAACAGAACGGCAACAAAGAGTGGATTCACACGAGTTATGAATTCCTGAAACCAGAGAAACTTAAGGATAAATCGGGAAGATTTAAGTTAATTAATGGAGAGTTGAACCCCGAGTACGACGCGTCCAGTCTCTCAGTGCCACAATCACATCTGGACCAACAGACCCCTGCTCACAGACAGTGGTGGCTCATGAAGTGTCAACACTTTGATACCGTCCTCCGAAAACTCCAAAGAGTTCGACCAATTGGTTGACTCAGAGATCGGAAAAACTAAAATCAGTCGAAAAGTCGAGTCCATCGACAAAGAAGACTTCAATGACCCCTAAAGCCAGTGATAAGAGACTGACTTCAATGACCCCTAAAGCCAGTGATAAGAGACTGAATAAAAGTGTGATGTCTTTCGCGGCTGACGAGTCCTTTATATCTGTGATGGACTCGACTGAACAAAACGGCAACAAAGAGTGGATTCACACGAGTTATGAATTCCTGAAACCAGAGAAACTGAAGGATAAATCGGGAAAATTTAAGTTCATTAATGGAGAGTTGAACCCCGAGTACGACGCGTCCAGTCTCTCAGTGCCACAATCACATCTGGACCAACAGACCCCTGCTCACAGACAGTGGTGGCTCATGAAGTGTCAACACTTTGATACCGTCCTCTTCTTCAAGGTTTGCATCTTTGACACGCATTACAACTATTTCTTAAGTAATCATTTAATGAAATAATTTTATTTGCATTTTGTATTCTTGGACAGATGGGCAAATTCTATGAGGTTTGAAATGTTTTTCTATTTCCGTAATCACTATTTTAGTCTTCATTTGTCTTAGTCTTGAGTTTGAATTAGTCTTATATATACAGTATTTATAATCATTATATACCGGTATAGCTGTTCCATATGGACGCTGTTTTGGCCGTCAATGAGCTGCAGATCATATTTATGAAGGGAGACTACGCTCACGCGGGTAATTGCATAATGAAATTATATGTATACTATAATACCATTACATACTATCATTACATACAGGCTTTCCCGAGAAGGCTTTCAAACGATATGCTGATGTATTAATTCAAAAGGGGTACGACAGCACACACTTCTTTATTTAATACCAGTCTTAAGCACAACTACTTTATGAACAGCTATAAAGTGGCCAGGGTCGAACAGACTGAGACACCAGCGATGATGGAGGAAAGGGTCAAACACATGAAAAGGGCGACTAAATTTGATAGAGTAGTCAATAGAGAGGTGTGTCGAGTGTCCAGTATTGGCACTCGTATGGCATCTGTTATCGACGCCGACATGCTTTCCGATCACAACTCGTATCTGATGGCCATCACTGAAAATGTAAGCCAAGTTTGGTTTAGTTTTTGTGTTGAATTTGTAATTTCTTTCAGATAACAGAAAGTGGTTTTGATTTTGGCGTTTGTTTTATTGATGTTTCGATCGGCAAATTCAATTTAAGCCAATTCTCAGACGACAAATACTACTCTCGATTGAGAACTCTTTTGGCTCATAACACTCCCACTGAACTCATCATTGATAGGAAATGTCTTTCAATGAAAACGAGGCAATTGGTAGAGAATTGTGTCCCAAATGGTCGCTTCGAGTATAAGAGAGAGTTTTGGTCGTCGAAGAAGACATTGAAATACTTAACTGAAGGCGACTTCTTTAATGGAGATCTGCCGCAAGTGTTGAACGATATGATAGAGCCCACGGATTCTCTGAAGCAGACGGCGAAGGCTGGGCACGAGTTGGCCATCCGATCGTTGGGCGCCGTCATCGACGTCTGTATCGAATCTCTTATTGTTGACGAAGTATTGTCTATGAAACTGATGTCGGAGTACAAACCGTGTGATACAAATCGATTGGGATCTGATGACCAGTTACCCAAACAAATGATTCTCGATTCCTATTCGCTCCGGAATTTAGAAATCTTTCAAAACAGTTTGGGTGAGAGTGAGGGCACACTTTGCGAAGTTCTTGACTTTTGTGCCACACCTTTCGGTCGACGATTACTTCACAAATGGATCTGTTGTCCACTTTGTGACATCTCGCAGATAGTGGACAGACAACGGGCCATAACAGACATATCTAATGTCAATATACGATTTGAAACGGAAGAGACAATAAAGGCATTGAAAAAGTTGCCGGATTTGGAGCGACTGCTTAACAAAATCCATTCCCAGGGTTCGGCCAAACGCGCCAAAAGCCATCCCGACTCGAGAGCCATATTCTTCGAGAGTGATGTCTATAATAAACGCAAAATATTAGACTTTCTATCAGTTTTGGAGGGCTTTAAACAATCGGTTAAAATTGTGGAATCGTTTCAAAAGCACATCCAATCGTTCGAGTCATCGATTCTGAAGAAATGTTTGTCTAAAGAAGGAAACGGCAAAGGATTTCCTGATCTGAGCGGAAACTTTGCATATTTTGACAATGCGTTTGACCACAAGATGGCTAAATCATCCAATCGTTCGAGTCATCGATTCTGAAGAAATGTTTGTCTAAAGAAGGAAACGGCAAAGGATTTCCTGATCTGAGCGGAAACTTTGCATATTTTGACAATGCGTTTGACCACAAGATGGCTAAAAAAGACGGAAAGGTTGTGCCGCATACGGGTGCCGATCCGGAATACGACCAATGCGTTGAACAGGTATTGTCCATTTTTGATTGTCAATTACATTGTATTACCGGTCATTGTTTTATGGATTTAATGGTTATAACACTGGTTTCATGTCAATTGATTGCTATTTACATATCAAATGTTAGGTCGAAGCCATCACTAAAAAGTTAGACAACTATTTGGTCGAACAGAGAAAGTTCTTTGGCTGTCAAGTGGTGTACTTCGGGACCGGAAAGAATAGATACCAATTGGAAGTACCAGAGAGTGCGAGCAAAAGGATAACCAAAGATAATCACGACTATCAATTAGAAACTTCTCGAAAGTATGTTTTTACAAATTTTAATACAATATAAACTACACTATACTCTACTCTATAGGGGATATAAGCGCTATTCAACACCCATTACCAGAAAGCTTTTTGATGAGCTTCTGGTGGCTGAAGACGCCAAAGATACTGTTCTTGAGGACGGAATGCGCAGAATATTCGAGGCGTTTGATAATCATTACGACAAATGGTTGGAAGCGATTAATTGTCTTTCTTTGTTGGATGTATTCCTGAGTCTCTCGAAGAGCCGAACATTCCTCCAGCAGAAGGGGTCCGTCGTATGCCTTCCGAAGTTCAGTCATTCGGAGACACCGTTTGTTAATTTAGTTGAATCACGAAATCCATCTCTACTTAAGTATTGCGAGAATTTTATCGCGAATGACATTAAGATTGAAAGCGAACTCCTTTTGCTGACCGGACCTAATATGGGCGGAAAGAGTACTCTAATGCGACAGTTGGGGCTCATTGTGATTATGGCACAGATGGGTATGAGTCTTACCATCAAAATGATTAGTACTGTATTTGAATTGTGTGCTTATGTTTAGGTGCTTACGTTCCGGCAAAGGAATGCACTCTCACTCCTGTGGACCGGTATATTGATTTTCTATCAAATAATAGTTTATTAACAACTAATCGCATGACTACTCATTCATGATTTATTTGAAGCATATTCACGAGACTCGGAGCTTTTGATCGCATCGTTGAGGGCGAGAGTACTTTCTTCGTTGGTATGCCTTTCACTCTATTCTTTGAGGTTTTCATTCAAGTGAACCTAACTTTACATCTGAATTGTTTGCACAGAATTAAGCGAAACAGCCGTTGTTTTGAAGCACTCGACCAAACATTCACTCGTTTTAATCGACGAATTGGGTATTCATTGATGTTTTAATTATCGTTTCACATGTTTATTAAGTGTATGTTTGACTACAGGCAGGGGAACGTCAACTTTCGACGGCACAGCCATTGCCTGTGCGGTCACTAAAGAGTTGAGTGAAAACATCAAATGTCGGACTCTATTCTCATCGCATTACCACTCATTAGTCGATGAGTTTAGATTCAACCCTTCCGTCAAATTGGTTCATATGGTATGCTTTCCGCTAACATTGATATTGACTGAAATGTATTAATGAATGAATGTTTGGTGTGTTTTATGTGTCAACTGAAGGCCTGTATGATTGAGAACGAGAACGAAAGCGATCCGACAGAAGAGAGCATTACATTCCTGTATAAACTAAAGGAGAACTCGTGTCCCAAAAGCTATGGCTTCAATGCCGCACAATTGGCAGGAATTCCCAAACAAGTCATTCGTAATGCATTCAAAAGAGCCAAAGAATTCGAGCGACAAAATCAAATCGAAAAGATTTTCACCAAAGTTATGCACAAAAGTGTGACCAACACTGAGATTATGTCTATTATTCCTCACCTCAAGAGCTTTAGTCTAAACAATTGAGTCAATTCTGAAGCATATTATAATGTTTTTGTTTATCTGATTTAAATATCAAATTACTATTTTTGTATTCAGTTTTTCTTTCATTCAATAAATCAGTATTCTATGAGTAATAAAAGATTATTATTACTAATTATTATTACCGTAGTATGCACTCTAACTGTTTTATTTTAGACTTATAAATCAATAACTGCAACATTCATATCAACATAAATGAACTTTTAATAAGTTTTAAAAATAATAATCACAAAAGTAAAAAATGAACTAATAATAAGTCTGACATCACATGAAACAACATTTTTGTGACTGAATAGTAACGCCCTTTATAAGCACAGAATCGCATTGCATGGGGCATACAGTAAGTAATTTTTGATACATTCAACTTTTTGATTGCAGTAACTTAAAGGTCTTTTATAAAAGTGATTTCATTGACAATCATTATTACAAATATTTCACAACAAAAGTCTAATGAAAGTTTGATTGAATTACAAAACTTATTGTCTTCAATGGGTTCTTATGAAATGAGTTCTTATTGCATACGTTTTGAAGCGAGTCTTCTCATGAGGGCTGAGAGGCATCGCTTTCACGACCTCAAGAAGTCCACGATTTTCATTCAAAGACTGTTTAGAGCCAAACGAGAGAGAAGGGCTGCCATCAAAATACAGGTATTTTATTACGAGACCCATGAATACTAAGAGACAAAAGTATAAGACTCTGAAGTCTTCGGTAATTGTTTGTCAGGAACTCTTCCGCGCCAATCAACTCATGAAAATCGAGAAACAAAAGTATCAAACACTGAGAACTTCAGCAATCGTTTGTCAGCGACTTTTCCGCGCCAACCATCTCATGAGAGTTGAGAAACAAAATTATCAAACACTGAGGTCTTCGGTAATTGTTTGTCAGCGGGTTTTCCGCGTCAATCGTCTCATGAGGATTGAGAAACAAAAGTATCAAACACTGAGGTCTTCAGCAATTGTTTGTCAACAGATGTTCCGCGCGAAGAGACTTATGAGAGTTGAGACACAAAAATATCAAACACTGAGATCTTCGGTAATTGTTTGTCAACAGCTGTTCCGCGCGAAGAGACTCATGAGAATAGAGACACAAATATATCATACACTGAGGTCTTCAGCAATTGTTTGTCAACAGCTGTTCCGCGCCAATCGTCTCATGAGGACTGAGAGACAAAAGTATCAAACACTGAGATCTTCGGTAATTGTTTGTCAACAGATGTTCCGCGCGAAGAAACTCATGAGAGTTGAGACACAAAATTATCAAACACTGAGGTCTTCGGTAATTGTTTGTCAAAAGCTGTTCCGCGCGAAGAGTCTCATGAAGATTGAGAGACAAAAGTATCAAACACTAAGGTCTTCAGCAATTGTTTGTCAACAGCTGTTCCGCGCAAAGAGACTCATGAATACTGAGAGACAAAAGTATCAGACTCTGAGATCTTCGGTAATCGTTTGTCAGGAACTCTTCCGCGCCAATCAACTCATGAAAATCGAGAAACAAAAGTATCAAACACTGAGAACTTCAGTAATCGTTTGTCAGCGACTCTTCCGCGCCAACCATCTCATGAGAGTTGAGA